AGGTTTAAGGTTTTTGTTCGCTTGCGTATGCGCATCGAAAACCCCAATTCGCCACGGAAAATTTTTGCTAGATTTTTATAAGCCCCAAAACGAAAGTTATCGGATTACTTTTCCTTATTTTTGTTTATTTTAATTTTAACAAAATTTCAAAGACAATCAAATTTCCTTTTTATTTTTCGTTATTTTTGGTCGCTGTTGGAGCCCGCCGTTTTCCCAAACGAAGTCCGTTTTCCCCGACTAAGATCTCAAAACGTTGGGAAAAATATATCAAACAACTTTGCCTTGACGGTTTTCCGTTGATTTTGCCCCAATCTTCTGTAATTAATAAAAAACGAAATCATGAATTTTCAATTTCAAAAAAAAAAAAAAAAAAAAATTGATTTTCTCTAAAACTAGCCATTAGATCTTCAAAAAATTGGTATCAGATCATCCGCCTCGACGCAAGGATGAACTTTGCTTCCGGGGGAGCTTGCACGAAAACGCGCGGATTGGGAGATATCAAAGAAAAACAAATTAATTAAATAAAAAAGAATACCAAAAACTAAAACTGATCATAAAAGGACCCGCTAAATCAGACTAATTAGCGGTCTGTCAATCAGTCTGCGCATGCCCGTTGATCGGGGAAGGCCGCGGCCTTGGGGGTGCTGTCCCCTCCCCGGCAACGGCGCCAAAGTTGTGAGGAAACCCGGGAAGGGGTCGTCTACTGTTCGCTGAAGCCAAGGGCAACAACGCCTGTCACTCGCTGCCCCCGCTTCCGAGGTCCTCAGCGACCAGTAGCGTATCGGTGTTTGCACTACGTGTCCAACCCCCTCTTTGGAGCTTGTGTCTGAACTCACTCTTCAACTCCAGAAATAAATCAAATTAAAGGAAATAAAATAAAATAAAATAAAGTCTGATTGGTGACTGCTGCACCTCCACGCTGTCACCACGATGTCATGGCATTGTTCTATATCCCCGGGAACAGTGACCAACAAGATCCGATTCTAGAATGAGCGGTATGAAATTGACTTGGCTATGATCTGCAAGTATTGCTTGGCCAAAGAACACATAGCGGTTGTGTGGTTAATAGGGCATAGTTCTCTACTCTGCTTTTGAACAACGAATGTCCGGTTTTCGAATGAGCATCTGCTGCCCGAATCATCAATGAGCAGCCGCGTGTGTCCACCCGCTTGATGACTAGGGTGTGTTCGATCTGTTGATGAGCGGCGTGTGCCTGCCCCCTTGATGAGTAAGGGGGTGTCTGGTCTGTTGATGTGCAACATTTGTGAGCCCCTTTGATGAGTAGGGGGGTCAGATTTGTTGATGAGCAGAGTATGTGAGCCCCCTTGATGAGTAGGGGGGTCAGATCTGTTGATGAGCAGAGTATGTGAGCCCCCTTTATGAGTAGGGGGGTCTGATCTGTTGATGAGCGAAGTATGTGAGCCCCATTGATGAGTAGGGGGAGTCTGATCTGTTGATGGGCAGAGTATGTGAGCCCCTAATACAACTACAAATGAGCCTGTCTTCTATTTGAGGGAGCAGATGGTGGCATATTACCATAACTACCAGCATCAGAATCCTAGCGGAAAAGATCGCCACGATCATATTGGAACACTTTTTCGTTACCAAATAAATAAATTAAAAAAAAAGAAACAAACGAAAGGGCAATGATCCTGACGATGTCATGGGCAGCTTATGAAGAAAGAAAGAAGGACTATTAATTGCAGATCATGATTCCTGCATCCTTCACTCGCTTTTTCTTTCTCTCTCTCTCTCTCTCTCTCTCTCTCTCTCTCTCTCTCTCTCTCTCTCTCTCTCTATGCTACCTCTGTCTCCCTCTCTGCGCAGTCCTACTCTCTCACTCGCACTGCGCAATCCCTCTCTCTCACACTATTTCTCTCGTTTTTTTTACTCATTCACAGTCAGTAAGGGGGTTGACTATCCCCTGATCTCCAGCTTGCTGGGTTGACTCACATAAGCAACAATATTAAATAAAAGAAATATGAATACAAAAAAAAAAACCTTCTCTCATGCCGCTGCATGCACTCTCATTATTCCCGAAGGTCCTTCCTCTCCTTCCCGATCCGACCCTTAAAAAGTTTTGTACGCGCTGTTTTTTTCGTGATTGCTCTGTATGTTGTCCCTATTTGAGCAAAATCACACGTACCCGATTAAAGTAGCGTTCCATCAGCAGCGAGCCTGACTCATAATCTCTTCAGCGGAAAGTAGCTGGACCCATCAGCAGTGACCCTCGCTGATCCTCTCATCAGCGGAAAGTAGATGGTCCCATTTGCAACGAGCCTGGTTGATCATCTCATTAGCGGAAAGTAGTTGGTCCCATCAGCGGCGAGCCTGGCCTATCAACTCATCCGCGGGAAGTAGCTGATCCCGTCATCAGCAAGCATAACTAATCAGTGGAAAGTAGCCCTTCCCGTCATCAGAGGGCATAGCTGATCATCTCTTCAGTGGAAAGTAGCATCCCATAAGCGGCGAGCCTGACTCATCATCTCATCAGCGGAAAGTCGTTGGTCCCGTCAGCAGCGGGCATAACTAATCAGTGAAAAGTAGCCGCTCCCGTCATCAGCAGGCATGGCTGATCATCTCTTCAGTGGAAAGTAATCCCATCAGCAGCGAGCCTGACTCATCATCTGATCAGCGGAAAGTTGCTGGTTCCGTCAGCAGCGGGCATAACTAATCAGTGGAAAGTATGCGCTCCCGTCATCAACGGGCATAACTGATCCTCTCTTCAGTGGAAAGTAGCATCCCATCAACGGCGAACCTGGCTCATCATCTCATTAGCGGAAAGTCACTGGTCCCGTCAGCAACGGGCATAACTAATTAGGGGAAAGTAGCTGGACCCATCAATCTGTGGCGTTGTCGCAATAGCTTACGTTGATCAGTCTTAGTTGTAGCACGCACCCCTGCCATGGCTGCAGCTGCTTGGCCAGGTGAACAGACACGATTCTACACCATCTCTTGGCCACTTCCCTGTCGCATGCCCTCCATGTCCACTTCCTTGCACGCCCTCGTTCCCGCCTGCGAACTCGCATGGGCAGCAGTTCGTGAGACGATCACGCACGCTGCAGCAACGCTCGCCCCGGTCACGCGCTTCAGCGCACCCTGGTCCCCCTGATCACCTCCGTCACCCCGAGAGAGAAGGTTAACAACAGTCGTATTTTTCATCACCACTTCAGAGCACTCTTCACCACTTCAGGATGCAGCCTGCCTAAACAGGTGGTTTTCAGGGTCTTCGGAGCTTTCACCACTTCAGGACCATTCAATTATGAAAATCCTGAATGGTCCTGAAGTGGTGAAAGTTCCAAAGACCCTGAAAACCACCTGTTTAGGCAGGCTGCATCCTCAAGTGGTGGTCGTCGGACCTTTCACCACTTCAGGACCATTCAGGATTGTGAGACTGCCAAAAAATCTCACTTGACCTCTTCAGGACACCCTTCACCACTTCAGGATGCAGCCTGCCTAAACAGGTGGTTTTCAGGGTCTTTGGACCTTTCACCACTTCAGGACCATTCAAGATTTTCAGACTGCCCAAAACTCTCACTTCAGAATTTTCATTCCTGAATTTTCAGCTACCCGATAACCGCTTGTGCACCCCGAATGCCCCTGGTCCCTATTGTCTGCCTCGGTCTCCCTGGTCGCTCTGGTCGCCTCCGTCGCCGAATCATCCCCCTTTACGAAACGCTGGTCCTCTCTATATGTGACTACAACCTCGGGTCCAAAGGCAGGCCCGGCCTCAGGTACGTGCACCAGCTTCAGCCCGGGGCACCAGTGGTACCAGTATAGTCGTGCACGTCTAGCATGCAGGGCCCTTTAAAAAAAAGAAAAATAGTACTTCAGCTCACAGAAGGCCACTGGGGTGCCGCATTCTCAAGCCAGGTACCGCAAGTGAACCGCACCAGTTCTGAAGCTGGGTACTATCGGCTAGCGCAGGCCAGCGGCTGTACCGATACAGTAATGGCACCCCGCAGTAAACCAACTGCAACAGTTCCAGTTTAGTCCCATCGCGGCACCGAACCGCACAATAACCGTACCAAAACAACGCCCATAGTATCATAATACAGCGGGCAACCGTAATGAATGACTCCGATAACCTTGCCATGAAATAATATTGCCTGTCCGTTGTGAATCATATGCCGTCAACAAGCTACCGTGGAGCCAAAATTGTACCAAATTAATGATATTGAGTCAGAGCGAGTCACGAAAATCCCAGACCTAGTATGTCCAAATAGTTGTATTGGTTCTGCAGTTGCTCGCACCGAACCAGTATATGTACCAAGAAGGCCAATCCCGGGCCACCATGAATCTTGCCAGTGTCTGTCGGGTTACCGAACCTAAAAAAAATAGTAGAGTTGCACCCCGATCCAACTGTCGTGTCAAACAGCACAAGTACCGTGCCTGTTCCGAACCTGGAAAAGAATCAGAATAAGCCGCAGCATGCCGTGACAACACCAATTTTGTACCGACGCAGAGTACCGTAGTGTGCAGGGGATCCACCATGCCAGTACCGTCAAAAACCGTACCTGTCCCGAACCAATGTGTCGTGCTCGTTTCAACCCTGTCCCCGCACCAAAATGATAAGGCCGCGTGACCTGTTGTCGCACCATGCTGACCCTGTCGCAGCGTCCCATTTACTCAATTAAGTTCGGGCTATCGCGAGGGGGTAATCAGCTGGTTCGGAAAAATCAAGGGGACTCGTACGGATCAACAGACAATAGGTAAATACTTGATTTCCAGCAAAATTCCATCACAAATAAATTCTGCCAAAAAATAATCAAATAGTAAATAATCATTCGTTTTCCTTCCTTTTATTATTTTTAATCCCTTTTTTTCAGTTTTTAATTTCGATGTTAGAATTAATAAAAAAAAAGGGTCATTCCCTCGTCAGTTGTTTAGTGGGAAAGGTGCGCGCGGAGGCCTACTACCATATCCCAGTACCGCGGTCGGCCGCTTTAGGAACAGCCTCGGAATGGACGAAAATGAGAGGTGCTAGGCGCGACAGACGTAGTCGTTCCTTTCGTTGATTTCAAGGGTCGGTTTCAATACTTGGCGCGGGAAATTTTAGGGGTATCTTTCCGACCCCTAATTTTTCCCGATGGCTCCGATGAAAGCCCCGGTCAATCTCTCTTTAGACAATTAATCCAAGGCCCAATCCGTCGAAATTCGGATGGCCGACTGACCTTTGGCCGCCCGACACCGTGATGGTGCCCGATCCGTCTATGTCGCCCCGCGGCAAGTAGGTGGAGCGCCCATTGACAAGTCGAAGTCGAAGTGCATCCCCATCTCTGACCCCGCCCCCCCTGTGGGAGCAGAAATCCTCAGCTCCATCGCCGCCCCTCGAGTCAAACCCCCCATGACTGGATCGACCTCCTCCGTGATGAAGCACCGCACGAGCTGTTCATCGGTATTCGCACCGTCATGATCCATAGGAACGGCCTCCTGCGGCGCCGCTGCCGCTATCTCCTCCTCAGTGGTCGCCTGTATTGGAACCTCCTCCCCCGCTGTCGGGACTCCTGATGCCTCCTGCGCCGCTGCTGCCACATCCCCCTCCTCCTGCAATACTCCCGGGGAAGGTGATCGTAACCTCAATTGTCGAACCACTGCCAATCTCTGGAGAAGCCCGTGCAGAGGCAAAGAGAATGTCAACTCCTCCGTCTCCGCCTGTGTAGTGGCCGGCTGAAGAGGCGAGACGGGGGTGGGCGGTGCAGGGCTCGGCGCAGGAGGTGGCTGAATGGCCGACTCTCGCCCCGCAGGAGTAGGAGTCGGTCTCCCCGCCTCTGCGTGGCTCGTGCCGGCATGAGAGGCCCCGCCGTGGAAGCCACCTCCCCGAAAAGGCCCCATAAATCCTCGCCCACCCTGTGCATCTCCCTCTCTGCACGGTCCGCTGCCCGCCGTGTCGTGTATGTTCTCACCTCGACGTCATCGGCCTCCTCATGTGTCTCGTCGATCTCGCTGGGGATGGGCAGCGCAGGGTCATCTACTCCCTCGGGTGCAGGCTCCTCATCCAAGTCATAGTCCTTGGGGTATGGACGGGAAATGCAAGCACGTCTCTCGAAAACGGCATCAGTAGATGACGGTGCGGAAGACCGGATGGGATCGCGCGTAATAAGCGCAACCTGCTCTGCAATCTCCGCCGTCGTCATCCCCTGGCGCGTGCTCGTCTGCACCGGCTCAACCTCCAGTTCTGCCTAGCAGTCCAACATCTCCTCATCACGCTGCCATGGAAGCACGTAAGCGCATCCTGCCCGCCGATGCTCTTTTAACCGCACATTTGCGGTGATCTCAACGAGCTGCACGACCTTCTCAAAGGCCAACCTGTTGCGCTTCTTCGTGTGGATGCCCTTGTGGATTGCCCAGTTCCTCTTTGTTGGAGACACGCAAGACTACATGTGCATCACACGAAGAGCGCACCGCTGCAACTCAGGGGCGCCAGCCCCGTACTGGGACCACCAAGACGCGTACTCGATCGTCTCGGCGTCACCGCTACACGTGCGCCCACTAGCACGCCCCTCCGCCCCGCCCCAATCACCAAACCTGCCCTGCTGCATGTGGAAGTCCTTGAACTGCCGGCAGGCAAGGAGGTGCTCCGCACCCTCCAACTCGAAACCCGTCTGTGCCTGAATGTACCTCTTGGCTTGCCTCACAAGCCAAGTATAATACTTCTGCACCTCGTCGGAAAAATATCGAACATGTCGCTTGTGGGGGTTCAGTAAGAACCCAGCGCAGTGGGCCGGCTCTAGCATGTGCTGCGTGCGGGCCTGCACACGCCTGATGATTCGGTCTGCGATCGAGAACCCCAAAGGAGCGCATGCCTCCTTCACCCGCTGCACAAGATCCTAAGCCCACTCGAGCATTAGTGACATGAACTGCCCTCCACGATCCATCCGCCGGAGCAACTGCATCACGGGCTCCATGATATGGACAATGGTGGCCACCCTCTGCCACCAAGGATCACATCCGATCTGCCGGCGCACCCAACGCGCCATGTAGCAAACATCGACAGACCACGGAATGGCGGCAAAACCCAGCGCGTCATCCCCTCACATCATGTCCTGCAAAGTGTCCTGCAGGGCCATGAGCCTCTCCAACATGGAGTACACAGACGCAAACCGCGTCTCGCATAAAAGAACAAGACCAAGGTTGAGGCTGCGCTTCCAAAAAAAATGAAGGGCCGCCAGGTGGGTTTTGAAAAACACCACCAGCACACGAGCACGTGAGAGAGTATCAACAAACGCGTCTCAACACGTCCCCATGTCTGACAACAATTTGTTGCAGACATGGACTAAACATGGGAGCCAAGTGATCCTCCCCAATGTTGCAGGCATGGTCTTCGAGGTCAGAGCCCTGGCAGCCCCAACGTACGCTGATGCGGAGTCAGTGCATATCGCATTGACCCGCTGCGGCCCGCCGAACCTGAACTCGTGGAAAATGGTGACCCATCTCCGAAGGACGTGCTCAACATTGTCCGACTCCCCCTCTCGATTGATCGTTGTGTACATGACGACCCTTCGAGACCCTGCGGCGAGGAAATTAACGATCGGTCTCCCGTCTCGTGATTTCCTCCCGTCTGAGAGGATGGTGGCGTTGGTCACCCAGAACGGCTGCCTCACCTCCTCCAACTCCTCGGCCAAGTCCACACGGTGGGTCTCCACTGCCTGCATGCTTGCAATCTCGTTGTGGCTAGGGAGCACAGCGCGCGGCGAACTGCCAGGCTGCTGAAGACGCACCTGCTAATATGCCCTCCATGCCTCAGGCATTGAAGGAAACCCCGCTGGAATAAAGCCAGCGAAGGAAGGCCTTCTTGTGGCGAGCAACCCTCTCGCCACCGTACACCTCATCCGCCTTCTGCTGTCTAAGCCTCTTTCCAGCTTGGGTGGTAGCCGGAACAGCTCCCCCTTCCTTCCTCTTGGAAGAACCCTCCCCTGTCAGATCCTGCGTAGGAGGCAGTTGTCGATTGCCCTCTTGCCGCTAACAGTCCACGATCCTCTTCCTCGTCAATGGATCGAACTCGGGTTGATCCTCGTTTCCCGGGAAGTGCCACGTGCCTCGTGATTGTCGATGATCACGTCCCCCTCGATGCCACCACCTCTACCCCCCAATGGCTGGTCGGGCTCACCATGTCTAATATCTCCCCCCCCCCCCACACCCCCCGCAGTCGCTGCACCGCCTCTCCTCCCGTTGCTGCACCGACCCGGGGCACATCAAGTCCACGCTTCGCTGCAAACCTGGAAATCCTCTCCATCTGGTCGGCCTCGAACTTCAATTGATTCCGTTTTTCGATCTCGTACAAAGCCTCATAAGTGACGGCCTTGCAGTAATTGGTGTGCACGAAGTGCCTGGTTGCTTGGAATAGAGTCCCCTAGAATACTTTGTTGCAAAATGTGCAACGCAGCATCATCACCCCCTTGTTGTCGACCTTCTGGCCGACGACAAGGTACCGATACATAGGGCACCTTCCCCTAAACGCGTCCTGCACATCCCGAGAAGTGGGCTCATGCTCGCGCCGTTGTGCCCTCCCCATCGCGAGTGTCCCGTTCGCAGCTCTGAACCTTCGGCCCGAAGTCTTGTCGACCCTTTGAAATCAACCCCAAAACCCTCCCAACACAACCTCCCCCGGCCCCGACACCTGTCGCGCCCCAACCCCCTCCCCCCTCCTCCCGCAATACCCCCCGAACACCTGCCTGACCCTGCCGCTCGACGAGAACAGGCTGCCAAACGGCCACATTCAATCGCGTCGAACCACGTTCAATCTCGTTCAATCTCGTTCAATCGCGTTAAATCCTGTTTAACGCGTCGAAACGTGTTTAACGCCGTGGAATGAAAAATTCAACAGCATGTGTCGACGATGTGCGCCGAAGTGCAGAACTGCCATCGTCGTCCCCGCCGCTCCAGCAGCAGCAGTCGCTGCTGCCACGCTACACGCTTCGTCTCCGCTTTAGCCGCCGCTCTCGTTGATCCTCTCTCTCTCTCTCTCTCTCTCTCGCTCGCTCGCTCACTTGCACGCGAGCACGGGAGCGCTATGTCTCTCTCTCTCTCTCTCTCTCTCTCTCTCTCTCTCTCTCTCTCTCTCTCTCTCTCTCTCTCGGTCGCTCGCTCACGCCCATGCGTGTCACGTTGACGCGTTCGGGCTCGTGCGGCAAATGAGGTGCGGCAGAACTGAACGGCCTTTTTATGTAGCCGTTCCCCCAGCAGGTCGTCCAACCCCGATACCCCGCGGAAACCCTGCTTGACGTCAGACCCACATCACGCGGGTTTTTTATTTTCTTTTATTGAAAAAAAAAAAAAAATTGAATGCATGAGGCGGTACCCGACAAGGGTTCCCACCACCCCACACCTTCAGAAACCCCGACCCCCCCCCCAACCGCGCGAAAACTCGATTCGTGGACCCCGTTCATTCGTGTCCAATGCGCGTTTGAACGGGAGTTGAACGTGAATTTAACACGCGTTAAATTATTTAACGAGGAACCCAGGTTAAATCCAGTTTCGGACACACAGGTGAGGAGTAGGTTGCTCATGGTGAGGAGTAGCTTGTTCATCATTAGGAGGATGTTGTTCGTGTTAAGGATTATATTGTTCATGGTGAATATTGAGTCCATCTCATAATGTTTTTCACTTTTTCACCCTTTTGAAACTTTATAATTTTCAAAGTTTTCGCCTAACTTAAAATTTGAGGATCTTCACTTTTTTCACCATTTCACGTTGTTGGTGCAAGAGGAGGTCGGAATGGTTTAAGGGTGTTCATGTTTTTCACCACTTTACATGAGAAAGTTGAAGTATTGAAGAAAGTGAACACCCTGAAACCACCCACCCTCTCCCGGTTTGCCACTCGAACCTGTGAAGAAAAAAATAAAAAAGTCGAAATGGTGAATAAAGTGAACACCCTGAAACGCCCCCCCCCTACCCTTGATCTTCCGGGACAGGGTGGGTCGTTTCAAGGTGTTCACTTTCTTTACCAGGTTCGATTGACAAACCGGGAGAGGGTTTTCACGATCTTCACCACTTCACGTATTTCACGTTTTTCATAGCAGGTTGGAGTGCCAAAGCCAAGGGAGGGGGGGGGGGG